AAAGGCTTAATGGATTAAGGACTTAAAAACTGGGTTTTTAGCCTCAGACTGTTCTCACGACGTGAGACACAAGGTCTCATGATGTGAGAAGCGTTTGGTCCCGTTTCTGATCATCTGCTTGGGGCTCATAACGTAAGAAAGGGTTCTCACGACGTGAGGGCAACCCCGTTGACTTTTCCTTGGCAGAGTTGACTATGTCGAGTCGTGATGAGTTGGGATTTGATTGAGTAAGCTCTCACGACGTGACTAAGGATGGTCACGACATGAGATGTGGTTTTTGGTCATTTGGGCCTTGTTGGGATCTATTTTTCTGTATGTGGGTCTTTTTGGTGCTTGGGGTCATTTGGAGCTTTGGGTATCTTTTAGGAAGTTGGGACTTAGTAGGCTTTTGATGCTATTGGTGAGCCTCGGATTTTGGGCCAAGCTAGGAAAGGGTAAAATGGACTTTTACCCTGAGTGTTGATCAATCGGACTTGAACCCTAGCTTTAGGTTATGGACCAATTATTAATTTGGTATTATTTGTTGGTGCTAGCGCACAGAATTTTCCGAATCGGCAGTCCGAGCTTTTATCTAAGATATTCGACAGTTTGAGGTGAGTTTTCCTCACTGTACTTTCGGGTCGAAGGCGCCAAGGCCAGCCCATTGGATTGTTATCTTGGTTTATCACATGATGGTATGTTGTAGTCATCTATTATATCTGTATCCTAGTATATAGGATGATGTTATGCTTAGTGATTTGTAAGATCCGTTTGATTATCTGTTGACTGGTTATATGCTAGTTGGTGGTTGAGGTCTTACTGCTATGTGCATGATCCAACAAACCAGGGGCATTCCAACCCGATGATTGATTGGTCCCGAGGGTATTCCATCCCGAGGATGACTGGACCCGTTGTATATTGGCATTCCAACTTGATGGTTGATTGGACTTGGGGTACTCCAACCCGATGGTTGATTGGACCCCATATGATAGTATGGTATGTGGTGAGACTGGACTGCTTTCTGCGTCAGTCAATTAACCCGATGGTTGATTGGACCCGACATGTTTGGTATTCCAACTCGATGGTTGATTCCCATCGCAGACATGCCTGGTATGCCAGCCCGAGGCTGATTGGGCCAGGCATGAGTGTTTGATCATGTTAGTTTGTTGTTATCAGTTTGTGTGGTGGTATTTTAGGGGAACTCATTAAGCTTCGTGCTTACAGTTTTGGTTTATGGGTTCAGGTACCTCAGTGGACAGTGGCAAGGCGAAGGCATGACCGTACACATCCTTGGTTTTACAACTAATTGGATCTTGGGAGACTCTGATTTTAAATAATGTTTTGGAAATAATATTTTGTAAACACTTTTATTAATAAAATGGGTCGCTTTTGAAAGGTTTAAATTTGTTGAAATTTTTGGGATGTTACATAAGGAATATTAGACTAAATACTTCATGATGATTATACTAGGTCACATCAAAGGAAAGGCTAAGTGCTGAAGTGAAACACTGCCTAACGTCGCAGTCATCCACTTTAACAAGTGAATGCATAGTTACTTTCAACTTACACATAGATATAAAGTAGCTAGATGATTAAATGATATGCATGTAACACCCTAGTTTTCAAGTAATTTCAAATCCATCCCTTGAGTTTTAATTATGTCACTTTTGGTCCTTGGATTGGAATGAAGTGGCCATGGGAAGCCCTAGTGGCAAAATGGTAGTTTATGGAGCAAGAGTTGTACGTTGGGCGTACATGTGAGTATGCTAAGCGTACTAGGGCGTGCCTAGTATGCTTGGTGTACGCATATGTACACAGGGCGTACGTGTGTCTGGGTGAAAACCCTAATTCTTAGGGTTTGTAGAGTATTTAAGCATCTTATGGACCATTTCTCCCATCTTTTTCCAGCCTCCAAGTCAATGGGTCATTTTGGCAAAATCCTAACCTCCATAAGTGTGTGTTGTGAGCTAAGAGGTGATCCTTGTGTGTTTGAAGAGGAAGAATTTGCATCAAGAAGCTTGGGAACGTGAAGCAATGGTTAGATCTGGAGTTTTGGCTTCCTTTTCTATCATCCAAATGTATAAAGTTCATACATTTATGATTGTTTTGCTAGATCTCTTATTGGGTTCTTTTATGCTTCCTTTTGGTCCCAAATGCTCCATTTTGAACATGACATGTTCTGGATGAATTGAGCTGTCCTTTCAGACCCTTGGAGGGGTCCTTAATCATTAAAATGAGGTTCCAATGGCTAGAAGTGTCCCATGCAGTTGGTAGAAAGGTCTTAATGGATTAAGACCTTGTATTAAGAACTTTTGGACGTCTACAGTCATAAAGTTGGAGACTTTATGACTCTATTGTGCATTTGGACCATGGATCTATAATTTGGGCTTAAGTACTTAAGCCATTAAGCACATATTGGACTTTTGGATCTGCGAGGGTACGCCCTGCGTAGGGAGGAGTACGCCTCGCGTACTTGGTCAGCCTCCCCATAACTTGGTCAATGTGATGTCTCGTGTACGCTGAGCGTACCTCCGGCATACGCCCCGCGTACACGACTGTTTTGGGCTCCTTTGCTTTAGGCTTTGGGTATTGGGCCATCTGTTGGGCTTTGATACTTGGGCCCTAATGGACTATCTGGATAAGTGTGTTTTGGGCTAATTAGAGGATCAGACTTTGGATAAGGCCCAATAAGGAGTTGGGCCCAATTTGGAAAATTGAGCCAAGTATGGGCCTTGAAGTAATTTGAGACTTTTTGGATCAAGATTCAGGTTTGGTTTGCATTGGGTTGTGTTGGGCCGTCTGGGATTTTATGCTTTGGGCCTTTGACTTGCTGGATCTTCTTGAGTGAAGGCCATGAAAGGAATTAGGCCCAATGTGGAAAATTGGGCCATAATCGGACTTAAGGAGTTTATTTTGATGTTGGGCCTTTTGTCATTAGTTGGGTCTTGGCTTTGGGCCATGCTTGAGGAAGGGTAAAAAGGTCTTTTACCCTGAATTGGACTCTTAGTATGAGTCAGTGGCTAGATGTTGATGGATTGACATTTTGGTAACTGTTAGCGCGTGTGTGATAGTGGATTTGCAGTCAGAGATTGTTCATGGAATCAGTTGCTGATGGGGTGTTGTCTTGATGTTGGCGGTTCGGGGATCTGGCAGCCAGCAGCCATAGATCGTCTGTGTATTCGGTAGTACGAGGGAGTTTTCCTTATTGTACTTATGGGTCGACGGCACCAATGCCGGCCCTGTTGGATTGCTATCCTGGTTTATCTTATGATTGAGTGTTGTTATGATTTGTTAGATCGGTATCCTGGTAGATAGGATGTTGCTATGTCATTATGATCTATTAGATCTGTATCCTGATAGATAGGATGATGCCATGCTTAGTGATCTATAAGATCTTCATGTTTTTCTGTTGATTGGTTATGTGTTCAATTGCTATATATATGTCGACATGTGTGTGTGTGTGTGTATGTGTGGTTGGGTTGAGGCGGTCCTGCTCCGTGCTGAAGGACAACAGACCCAGGGCGGTCCAGATAGACTGAAGGCATGTGAGGCGGTCCAGTCATGCTGAAGGCCCGACGAGCGGTCCGGATAGACTGTAGGCCCTACGAGGCGGTCCAGTCATGCCGAAGGCTCGGGAGCGGTCCGGATAGGCTGTAGGCCCTGCGAGGCGGTCTAGTCATGCCGAAGGCTCGGGAGCGGTCCAGACAAGCTGTAGGCCCGGTGAGGCGGTCCAGACATGCTGAAGGCTCTATATACATGTTGTTATTTGTATATGTTATCTGTTGGGTGTTGGTACTTTGGGGGAACTCACTAAGCTTCATGCTTACAGTTTTGGTTTATGGTTTCAGGTTCTTCAGTGGATCGTGGCAAGTTGAAGGCATGACCGTACACATCCTCGCGTTTTGGACTTATGATTTATGGGAAACTCTGATAATGTGAACGTTTTGAAAACTATGTTGAGAAAGGTTCTGATTTTAAAATAATGTTTTGGAATTAATGGGTTTGTAAACACTTCTATAGAAAAAGGGTTGTTTTGAAAAGTTTAAATTTTATGAAAATTTTATGGATGTTACAATGTAGGCCCATTATCTGCATTAATTGATATCTGTGTTAAATGATATATATGATTTTTCTTGATTTAGTCATATATGTATTTTCATTTATTTACATAAAATATATTGGGTAGTGATGGGCGATGAAAATGATGAGATGATGATGAGAGGACTTGACTTTTGATGAACCAGTCATCTAGCAAAGTATAGATGACGACCACAGATTATTTTAGACATTCTAGTGGAAACGCTAGCATGCTCATAACCTGTAAGTATTAGTGAACTATATATTCATTGATGTACTCTATCCCCCCATGGTTGCCTTATTGACACATATTGCTATAGGAATCCCCGAAGCAGTACTGTCTACCTATTGATGATGATGACGATGATCCTTAGAATAGGTCCCTTGAGATCAATATTTTAGGATCAATATGTGAGAATAGCGGGAATAGATAATCGGGTAAAATATTTGATGTGAATTATATAATTAAAAGAAATTAATTATTATGGGATGAAAACCCTATGTGTTCACCAGGCCCCAAGCCTGACCCATTCAGTTTCTTTGTATCACAGGTAGCGGCACGAAGGCCCAAGGATGTTGAGTGATTTATGGATAATTGTAGGCCATAGTCTAATAAACTATTGTAAGGCCTGTAATATTTTCGTTATGCTTACATTTCTATATTGAAGATGACATCCCAAAGTTATTAATGAAACACATTTCTTCGTTAATGCTTGCTAATAATATTATCACATTATGGGGAACAAATTCTGCATTATAATTCTTTTAAAAATGATACTCTGAAATGAAATAAGCATAATTAAATCAGTCTTTTCTAGCCGAGAAAATGGGGATGTCACAAAATTACTCCAAACAGATTTCATAAGATTATGTGTTCTATAATGCTCTGTAAGGCTTTAAATGTTACCCCTACTCTTTCCATGTTCCACTACTTTTATGTGACCATGGTGAGCAATGATTGGATATCCTTCTCCTTTCGGCATGGTCTGATTAATATTTATGATGGACTAGCCTCTTATATCAAAAAGTGGAAACAAGAATTTTTCTTTGTGGATGCTTCTGCTTTCGGTGGTCCTATGTGCTTTGGAGATATTGCAGATCGAGATTGTAATCATGACCCTAAACTTACACCTGAAGAGCATTTCGTTGTTGATAGGTTGACTGTAAACTTCATGAAATGGGTTGATCCCGGTGAGGAGATGCTTGAGATAGCCTTATTGTCTAGTGCTTGGGGTAAGAGTGAAAAACGAGATGGTCCAATTCTTCAGGGTAAGGATTCCACTCTCCTAAATCGACTTCACCGGAGGCGGCTTACGGGAATCTCAAAGTCTTCCGATGGACCTGCCACTCGGTCTCTTGGATCCTCAAGAGGGGATACCCATCTCGAGGTTGAGTCAAGTATTGATTCTCATCCTTTTATTGATTTTGGCCATTCCCCTTTGCTGAATTCATTAAAGAGTGGAAAGAAGGGGTCATGATCGAGTGCTTAGGTAAGAAACCTCCTAAGTCCTTATCGAAGTAGAACATGAAGGTTAAAGTATTACAAAATAGGAAATGTGGCTCTCTTTGTGATATCGTAGAAGTAGGTGATTCCAAAATTGAGAATATTGCCTCGTTGGAGACAGTGATGGAGCGTTCTGATGATCTCTATAACCTTCCTCGAGATATTTGTTCCTTATGTTTATATCACTATTGAGAAAACTACCGCCGAAGATATTGTACTCCACGATTGTCCCATGCAGTTTGACCCTATTTTAGTTGTTAAATATGACTTGAGCATTTGGAACATTCTTATGGAGCATTTGAGTTCAATGGATCACTTAGAACTCAATAGAGCAGTTGGGGTTCAGGAAGCATGTAACAAAGGAATCGATCATATGAGAATGGAATGAATCATCTGATAATGGAACGGATCAAGTGTCAAAGGAACGTATAGTCTAAAATGGGGTGTAGAGCATCTGGAAGAGGTTTGGAGCACTTGAGAGTGGAATGAAGCAACTTAATACATTGTTGCACCATTTGATTAAGTGTTGGGCCAAGTGGCAAGCATGTTACACCATTATGAAAACATGTTGCACCATTGGCATACTTGTTGTGCCACTTTGGACCATGCTGCTCTACTCTGGTAGATCTTGCGCCAAAGTGGAAGAAGTTGTGCCAATTTAGAAGATCGTGTGCCACCTTGGAAGGAATTTGCACCACTTTGAAGGAAGTTACACCATGCTTGAAGGATGTTGCACCATCCTTGCACAAGATGGGCCATCATTATGCAAGATGCGCCATCTTGGTGCAGGATTCACCATTTTGGTTCCTTGATGAGCTATGACATCCCTGATGAGCCACACATACTATGAAGTCCTCTATGATGCTCAATATTGTTCAAGGATACTTAGAAGTTGGTGATGACCAGGGAATACACCACATTGTGCCACTATGATGGATGTTAGGCCACTACTGTTCATGATGCGCCACCTGTGCATCATGATGCTCCACTATGGCTCATGGTGCTCCATCATGCGCGTTGCTAATACTAATGTGTTGTATGCTCCACTATGGCTCATGACATCCTACGTGTTATAATTATTAATAAGGTGTTCATAGCCGTTGATGCTTATGGACACCATGACCTCGACTGCTTAGTTGCTTATGTCTTGTGTTCTGAACATCGTACTTCTTCACATGATCTCAAATTCTAACTATCTTTATATCTATACGTTCGTATTTAAGTTTACTACAACTTTCGTTCAAAACACAAGACCTAAGCTAAATCACAAGACCTAAGCAACCAAGCAGCCGAGGCCGCGGTGGACATAAACATCAACAGCTCTGAACACCTTATTAATGATGTAGCACGTAGGATGCATGAGAAAAAACTAAAGAAACTGTTCATATGTACTGAATGTGTATAAAAACAACAAGAATTTATTTTGCAACAAAAAAATATTAAAGACTAAATATACAAAAGAATATTAAGGACAAAATGTGTACAAAGTGAGAGATAGATTACCCTATGAAGTTATTTTTTCCGGTTTATCCGGATTAATCGGTCATAAATACTAAATATGTATAGATAAACAAGCTGAAGGGATAAATATAGACGAAAAAAACTCAGTAATTAAATGTATATAATTTTTTTTTTTTTTAGTTTTTATAAAAAGTGATTATCTCTTTAAAAAAAGGTGAAGAATGTTCGTCGTTCGTTGTTCGTTGTTCGTGGGGGGTAGGTTGTGACCATGGTGTTGGGGTAATAGAGACATGTCCTACGAGTTTTGGAGACGCAAACAACAAACAAGGGGGATCAGGATTCTTTCCCCCTTCCTTCAGATGGTCGGAAAGAGGGTCCTCCTCTGAGATCATCCTGAAAAGGGCGGTTAAGAACTATTCATACTTCTTAAATCCTTTTGTTTTCAAGGAAATTCTTCATTTATGTTTCTATCTTCTCATCTCAATCGTGCCACCAATCATCATCATCTTCTTCTCACATACCTAGGTGTATTATATTTTCACCAACATTTCCTTTGTTTAGTATATACATTGTACACGAGAGACAGAAATCAACTGAAAAAAAACCAGACGATTGATATAAGCTTTGATTGCCCTTCGTGCCCTCATTTCTGGTGCGATCGGAAACCCTAGGAAAATGAAAAACCCCCATTTGATCATTAACTTGATAAGGGCTACCAGTGATTTGTAGGAAAAGAAAGCTGGCGCATTCAGACAGGTGTGTGGTGGCAGAAACAGCTGCTGCCTCCACAATCACAACATATGGTTTTGAGTACAATGGGGGGTAGATGGACAACAAATGAAATCCAGTATTCTTATTTCCCGCTTTTAATTCTTGTTCTAGCTCATGGGTGTTCTTCCCTGAATCCCGAAGGTATTCTTATTTTTACTTTTTAATCAGTTTAAATATATCAAGGTATGTGTTTCAACTGTTTGTATCATTTATCAACAAAAATGCAGGATTGGCATTGTTGGATTTTAAGGCAAGAGTATCTCATGATCCATATGGAGCCTTTGCAAGTTGGAATGTGGATGACAATGATCCATGCTCATGGTCTTATGTTCAGTGTGTCTTTGGCAATGTGCATACTCTGTAAGTAAATGGAAGTATGTGTTTTAAAGGTTCTTCATTTGTGAAGTTACAAGCCTACTTTTTCATCCAATATGATCATAAATGGTTATTGATTTTATGAATTTGATCCACAAGACCACAAGACCACAAGATTCTCTTTATTCTGTGATTCTAAATTGGTTATTCTATAGACATTTGACTAACAATCGATTTTTGATGTAATTATATCCTTTTCTTGAAGTGATCTCAAAGGGCTATCTTTGGAAGGAGTACTCACACCTGAGTTAGGGAATCTCACTCACTTGAGACGTCTGTAAGTGTCAAGTTCTAATTCTTACCCACTATTTTTTTTCCAATTATGAAGGGGTATAAAAGACATTTGATTAAAGATAAACGATTATGTTAGTATGCGTTTTGAATTTTTTAACAGAGGGAGAATTGATTTGAGAGACTTGAAACATTTTCTAACTTTTTGTTTTTCCAGTGTTCTCTCACATAACCATTTTTCTGGAGTTATTCCCAAAGAGATTAGCAAACTCAAAATGTTGGAGGTACTGGATTTAAGGGATAATAAATTGATTGGAAATATTCCACCAGAGGTTGAAACGATGCAATCACTAAAATATTTGTAAGTGATATAATCCTATTCACTTTGTTCTTTATAGATTGCTATATTCCTACTTTCAAGACTCTGAATATATTTATTTATAAAAGTACAAGAAGTTCTATGGAAATGTATACAGTTTCTTGTCAATCCTGACATTGAGAAACGAATACATTTGACTCAACATTCACATGTCTAACAATTGGATTATGGATTTTGAGTAGTACACATTTCACTTCCCTTTTTACAAAATAAGGTTAAGTTTTGACTTTTAAAGTCAAATCTATTACTTTCAAGAATAAAAAATCACATGGATTTCATGACAAACTTAGCCACAAGATTTCTCTTAGTTTCTATTTGAAATCATTTTCAAAATGGGTGATCAAATATTACGTGAAATTGTATACAATTCTTTATAATCTTGATGTAGAGAAATGAGTACATTTGACTCCATTTTTCAAGCATTCACATATATAACAATCAAATTATGGTTTTTCAAGCATTCAAGCATTCCATTTTTGAAGAAAAATCATTTTCAAGAATCAAAATTGACATGGATTTTCTAAAAAACATAGCAACAAGAGTTCTTTTAATTTGTGCTTGAGATATTTTCTGAAGTGAGTCATCAAATATTTTTCGAAAACATATCAATTTCTTTAAAATCTTAAATGTTGAAAAATGAGTATATCTGACTCATTAAAAAACCTCCCAACAGGTTGCTTCATAACAACAATCTTGAAGGAAGCATTCCACATGAATTTGAGAGCCTGAATTTGCTCTACAAGTTGCAATTTGATGATAACCTTACATTCAGTGTTACAGATGCAATTGGATTTCTAAACAGGAAACTTGGACGTTGGTAAGAGTTTTCAAAAAAAAAAATCAAATTTATTTAAAATATTTAATTATGATACTTATTTCTTTTAAAAAATGATGGTGTCACATTGTGACAGCATATGGCAGGGTGGTTTTAACCATCTAAGGAATGCAGATTCTGTTATATCCCCATTCAAAGAAACTGTTATTAATTGCCTCAAACCGTTTCAACTGTAAGAAAGAAGCATAATTATATGCACCCCTTTTTTTTTAAACAAAAAAATTGAAATGTATAAATTCTTTTATTGGTTTTTATGCAGAAAAGTCACATTAACCTTTCTTTATCGTGTTTCTTGTGTGTTTTCTCGAGTTTCAGATTCAGCAAGGGCATTTCAGACAATTCTTGTGTCAATGAAGAAAGTACGTGACTTTCTTTTTGACTTAATGGACTTGATATAAATCGGATACATATATTTATATAGATATGTTTCTTTTTTGACTTAATACAAAAAGACTCTAATTAACAAGAAAAGTGAGGATATGGAGGCTTTATGCATTCAGACATCTTTCTACCTATTTGCCCTTATTTTATTTCCTATCTAGACACAAGGGTAAAATGGTAATTTACTCTTATTGTGTAAATTATCAGGTCCATTAACGCCCAAAATAGTTGAAAACACAAAAATTGATGGATGCATAACAAGTCGAAAGCTAATAGAAGAACCTACAAATGTAGCATCCGAATCTTCATATAATGATGCTGACATGTCAGCACGAGGTGACATCATAGGACTTGTTCCTAGTACCAAAAGCACCGGATGTTTCCGGAAAATAACAAAAAGATTTGATGATACTCCATCTTCATCATCCGAAACATCTGATGATGATGAAGAGTCAACGGAAAGTCAAACTAATTCAGACATGTGGAAGATCATGATAGGAATGTGTTGTGGATGTTTTCTTCTAATCACTTCCATGACTCTATCATTCATGTGTCATAATCAAGCTGTCAAAACCATTGGCCCATGGAGGCCCAAGCTTAGTAGACAACTGCAAAAAGCATTTGTTACGGGTAAATAATATTATGACTTACTATTATTATTAATTAAAATAAAAAAGAGTTTATTCAAAAAGGTTATTCTTACAGCAACCTGTCCGTTGGCCCACACTGTCCTGTCAGCTGGCCCACACTGTCCTGTCACATCAACATCATCATGTGTGAAATGTGAATCAAGTACATAGTGGCCCACACTCTACTATTGGGATACATGACTTATTTTGCTTTTTGTATCGAAGACTTGTTGTTTATTAAGTGCTTATTTTGATTTTTTGTTTTCTACATTAATCCCCATCATTCAATAATAGGGTTTTATGTAGAAAAGTTTCATTATTTAGGGAAATTTTTTGATAAAGTTATAATTTTTTTTTTGAACAGAAAAGTCCCGATTATTTAACATTTTGCACAAATTAACGAAAAAAAATCTTTTTTTTGATTTTAACAGGAAATGACAGATTATATGATTTTCCCAAAATAATGGGACTGTTTTGTTCAAAAAAAAACATTTAGGACTTTATCAAAAAATTTCCCAAAATAATGAGACTTTTCGGCATAAAACTCTTCAATAATATTTCATTATACCCCCTTAATTGTATTCGAATTCCAAACCATTATTCTTTTTCACTAATTAATCTATTTTTCTTAAACATCCGATAATATTTCATTTTGTTTCCCAATATCAAATAATAAAATGCATAGGGGTTATGTTATATTTTCATCGTTTTATTCTAATTTTTATAACATATGTAATGATTTTCACTTTTTTTGAAACTTATTTTCATCGATTATACAATATCAGCTAATTTCCTTTTCATTTTAATCCAAAAATATTAAATACAAATATGATCTGTGCTTAAAAAGAAATAAAATTTTACAAGTGGGCTTCATAAAACATTATAGATACACGACGATAAATTAGTTAATTTTACCAAAAAAAAAAAAGCTTTTAAAAAGGGTTTATGATAATTGTTTTTTGTTAAATTAAGTTAAGCAGAAAGATGACATGGCAAATATAATCAGTCATGGATACTCTAAGAACGACTTTTGGTTGTTAATGTCCTTCAAATTACTATTTTTGAATCTTTATTAAAATACCATTATCATTTTTTAGTGGAATTAGGGTATTAATTATCCTCTTAATCATGATTTAACAACACAGGTGTTCAAAAACTAGATCATTCAGAACTAGAAACAGCATGTGAGGATTTTAGCAACATCATTGAAACAATGGAAGGTTGTACTTTATATAAAGGAACATTATCAAGTGGAGTTGAGATTTGTGTTGCTTCAACTACCATTACAAGACTCAAAGATTGGTCAAAACATGCACAGCTATTGTTCCACAACAAGGTTTTCTTTTTTCTTTTTTCATTTTTTAGTTTTATTTTTTTCAAACATATTATATAGATTTCATCACTAAATAACTAAAATTTTGTTGAGTTATTGTAGATTGAGATGCTTTCACGTGTCAACCACAAAAACTTTGTCAATCTTATTGGTTATTGTGAAGAGGACAAACCTTTTGTTAGAATGATGGTGTTTGAGTATGCTCCAAGTGGCTCACTCTCAGAGCATTTACATGGTAATTCTATAAGTAAATGACCATTTTACCCTTCTGTTTAAAGTCATGTCTCCATTAACTTTTTTGTTCTAATTACACCTCTTATTAAATGATGTTTATCTGAAATAAGTGGTGTATGCATAAAATTCTGTTTCTTTTTTGGACTCAATGAACTGTCTGAATGTGAGTAAATGACTATTTTACCCTTATGTTTAAAATACAGTTCAAGAAGTTGAGCATCTAGACTGGAGTGCAAGGATGAGAATAATACTAGGAGTAGCATATTGTCTCCAATGCATGCATGACTTAAGTCCTCCAGTGGTGCACATGGATCTGAATTCAAAAATGATCTATCTAACCGATGATAATGCTGCCAAAGTAAGCTTCTGTGCAAAAAGACGTAAATGCCCTTCTCATCCTCATCGTTATAAATATAGACCTAGTGTTGAGAAGTTTTCTGATTTCCCAGGTTGCAGACTTGAGTTTCTGGAAAGAGTTTTCCCAGAAAGAAAAGATATCAGGGGCAAATAAGTCAAAGTGTGTTGTGATGCCTGATAAGGAGTCAAACATATACAGTTTTGGTGTTTTATTGCTTGAATTATATCTGGGAAACATCCTTCTTCAGACCAACAAGAGCATCTTGTAACTTGGGTAAGTCCATTAAACCACTATATTTCATATCAAAGGTTTATAGAAAAAATCACAAAAAATATGACTTTTAGAACTTGCATTTAACAAAATGACCAACTTTTTAACTTTTTGCACAAATGATCACATATTCCGCAATGGACCTACTACAAAATGACTTCATGCTGTATAATGACTTTTTGAATGGTCCCCACTACAAAAGAACATGAAAACTCATGAAATTTGCAATATATGTTTCTTTTAATAATTTTAAAAAAATAATGTAAGATTTTTTTATGGTGGGTAAAGTTTGTATAATTGCTTGATCTTTTCATTATACAAAGCCACCAATAAATACAATGCAAGCCCTATAAATAAGGAAAGGATATATAGAATAACACATAAATACAAATAATAATATATCGTCTAAGAGTCCCCCGCAGTTTGAGCGGGAAGAGGCTGAATTCTCAAGTTGTCTCTAAAGTCAAGAAAAAGTTGGCGTGGTAGTCCTTTGGTGAATATATCTTCATATTGGTAGGTTGAGGGGACGTGCAAGACCTGGATTTGACCAATAGTGGCCTTTTCTCGAACAAAATGTATATCCATTTCGATGTGTTTCATGCGCTGATGTTGAACTAGATTGCCAGATAAATATACTGCAAATATACTGTAGAGATGTCATAATAAACAAAGGTTGCATGTCGAAGAGGAATGTGAAGCTCAAGGAGATTTCACAACCAACAAGCTTCAACAACAACATTTGCAACACCTTTATATTCTGCTTCAGCAATCAAGCGCATGATCGGGATATTGTGGCTTGTCGTTTAGCGGACCAGGATATAAGATTGTTTTCGAGAAAGTTGCAGTATCCGAAGGTTGGCCGTCATGTATCCGGACAGCCTCCTTAATCGACGTCAGAATAAAAACAAGTTGCGTGGAGGCTGAGGGGTATAAAATCAAACCGAGGTATTGAATACAGGCTTTCAAGGCATTAAAGTGTGGTATTCGCGGTGCATGCATAAAAAGACAAATTTGTTGCAATGCGTAGGCAATGTCCGGGCAAGTGAATGTTAAGTATTGAAGTGCACCAACTAAACTCTAATACATAGATCATAGATGGATCCAACACCGGTTCACCGACATGTATGTCCCAGTTTTGGCCTAATGCTAGGTTGAGGACATACGTATTGTGACGAGTTTGACAACAGGACTGAAGGTTTCATTGCAATCAATCCGACCTCCTGTGTTTTGCTATCGACAACTAATCGTGCTTTGTATCATTCGAGAGTACCATCGACTTTGAATTTATGTCGAAATAGCCAACGACAAAGGATAATATTTTGGTCCGTTGGTCTTTGGACAAGATCCCATGTATACTGTTCAATAAAGCATTATATTCTATGGTCATAGCATCGAGCCAATTTTTATCATGGAGAGCAACTTTTGGATTTGGTGGGATGGGAGATATGGTTTGGGTGTAAAGTGAGAAGCGGTGTTTTGGTTTGGTGATCCCGCTTTTTATGTGAGTAAGCATGGGATGAGATGTGGTGGAGGCGGATTGGGTGGTGCATGTGTGCTTTGGGATGTGTGTGAGGGGTTGGCGGTTGGTGATTCTCGGTTGAAAGTCGAGGGTGAGGGGGGGGGGGGGGGGTTCGGTGTTGGTGGGATGAGGGTTGAGTGGGATGCGGTAAGGACGGGTTAGGTATGCAGAGGAATCCACTTCATTTAGAAAGTCATATGAAGTTGCTCGGTATTTGTTTGGAAGGTGACATGACATGACGAGATATGATGGGATTGGAGTTGGAGAGAGGAATGCATAGGTATCCATGGTGGTTGCTGGGATAGCCTAGAAACACACAAGGGGTGGAGCGTGGGGCAATTTGTTTGGTATGGTGGAAGATATGTCAGGGTAACATAGACAACCGAAGGTGAGAATATTTGGGGATACAGTGGTATAAGATTTTGGTGGGTGTAGTATTTGTTATACATCGAGAAGGAAGTATATTTGTGAGGTATGTTGATGTGTTTGATGCATAATTCCAAAAGGATGGTGGAAGGGAGGCATGTATGATAGTAGTACAGTACGAATAATTGTTTTGGCTTTACCATTTTCGGAGGATGTGTACGAACATGTGAATCACATATGGATATCGTTAGAGTTGCAAAATTGATCGAAGGAAACATTGTTAAATTCTCGACCATTGTCACATTGGAATGATTTGATTTTTCTTGAGAATTTGATTTGGATGAATTTGTGAAAGTAAAGTATTGTTTGAAATGTTTTGGATTTGGTTTTGAGTGGGAAAGTCCAGAGGTAGTGTGAGAAATCATCAAGAAGGACAAGGTAGTATTTATGGCCAAGTTTGCTAGGTAAAGCTGAAATCTAAAATATAAGTATGAATAACGTCAAATGGAGAATAGGTAATAGAAAATCATAAAAAGGTAATCGACAATGTTTTCCCGAAAAACAAGCATTACATGAAAAATTCAAAAAATTGGTCATTTTGTAAAAGTCCACCTCTAAAAGTGGTAATTTTTGCTATTTGTTTTAGTTTTTATGTTATTATTAAATAACTACCGACTCTAATTTTGCTATTTTCACAGGTGGAAGAATTTTTGAAGGACAATAAAAACATTAGTCATATGATTGATCCAACCTTAAAGTCATTCAAGCATAAAGAACTTGAAGTTGTTTGTGAAGTTATTCAAGAATGTATTGAAAAAGATGGAAGCGAGAAACCAACGATAAATAAAATAATTCGAAAACTTAGGGACGAAAGTGGTATTTCACCAGAGCAAGCAATCCCTAGATTGTCTCCCCTTTGGTGGGCTGAACTTGAGATTTTATCTGAAGATGAAACATAAAAAAAAAAGAATAACATTAAAGATACATGGAAAAAGTATACATTTTTCATTGTTAACTTGTACATGCGATAGTTTTTGTTGGATTTTAATTTGATTGATTCTTGACACTTGATATATAGGTTGTATGTAAATCATTTGATGAAAATGAGGTGTCGAGATTTATGGGGTTGGGTTTTTCACCGAAGGAGTTGTTTTGTATAGTTTTTGAAAGTGTAAAAGATAATGTAATGATTATTATTATTGGGGTGATCATTGTTAGTATGTATGTACTTAAACTTAGCCCATTAGTTTGTTTTTAGCTTAGCCCATCTCGACCCAAGGCCTTGATGCAATTCATGCGCCAAGACAAGTGGAAAATTGAGGTTTTTACAATGCTGCATATTGAGTTTTGACAACTTATTGGTGCTATTTTGGTAAATTCATATATTTTTGGGAGAAATTTGCTTTTTTATGATTTTAGCGACATTGGAAATATGTGAATGTCTAGTTTATTTCATATTTGTACCTCATAATCTAATTCATGCAACAAGATAGGTTAAAATTGAGGTTTTTAAAGTGATGTCAAATTGAGTTTTGACATGTTAACGTTATTATTTTGTAAAATATTTATAAAATCTCTCGTAACTCAGTTTTTTTTTTGTTTTTTTGTGATTCATGTGGCTTTGAAAAGATATAAAATTTTGTTTATTTCACCTCTGTACCTCATAATCTATTTAGTTAATGCTCCAAGATAGGTGAAAATGACAATTTTTTATGGTGCTATCAAATTGGATTTGAGCTTAGAAACATCCATTCAAAATTAATTTAGAAATTAATTTCGGGTTGTCCTTGTTGTGGGACGTGTCCTTGTTGTGGGACTGTTTTTTTGAATAATATTACATGATTTTTTGTCTAAAAAATATTCGATTGTCATTTTCTTTTTGCTTATCGGCTATATATTTCTATATATATTTAGGAGCTAATGTGAAATACTTCCAATTTTTTTTAAATGACCAATCATGTAATACACATTCATATATGAGGTAAGGTATTAAAAAATAGGTTTAAAATCCTACCCTCGTGAATACTCTATCAGTTGTCCGATTTTTTCTCTCCATTTTGGGGATACTCTATCCGTTATTTGATACTATATCTGTTATTCGATACTCTATCCAATTTTTGTTTCTCGTAGAATAAACCTTAAAACTTAAATTATGTTCAAGTTGCATCTACCTATTTCAACAATGAAACGTCATATACATATATAAGATTTCATTCGTTTGTACGAAAAGTGGACCAATCACGATGAAAGTTCAATTCCTCTCGTTGTAGATGATGTTACACCAAGTAACGAGACGACTTATTATCGACGACATTAGTTGTCTCGTTAAATAAGACAATTAATCAAGAAATCAAAACCTTGAGGAAGGGAAACGAAATCGTAACTGTCACAATCAAATAAGACAATTAATCAAGAAATCAAAACCGAAATCTATGATTAATAGCACTTAATTTATTTTTGTAACTGTTAACTAAAAAGAAATAATTGCAAAAAGGTCCATCAACACAAGTTGAGTGCCCCGAAGTTGAATTGACTCGCATTTACACCCCTGTGCACGCAAGAGAGAGCCTTGATTCTAATAAGTCTTAAAAAGGTAGCTAGTCTTTGTAATTATATACCCATTTCCTTTTCATACTCCCATCAATGTGGGATGAGTTAAAACCATTTAACCCACTTATTTTCCTCTTCCAACTACCACACTTTGATAAGTAATTTCTCATTTATTTCTAATCCGTTTTGGACGTGTGATATATCAAAACGAATGTATCACAGAAGAGAACACGAACACATAATCATTTGTCCTTTTTGATTACATTAAAATTTCGAAATTCGTGCTCAAAAATGGAGAAAATCCATTTTTGGAAATTAATTTTCCAAAAGATTTGTCCGTGTTAGTCTTTTAGGATTTTTGAGAAATGTTCGTCGTTGATACCTCTGTTTCTAATATAAGGATCAATGAATAAATGGCAGTTTTGTAATTTTGGTTTATATTGATTATTTGTTATAAACTTTGGTAATTGGTAGTTTGTTTTATGTTAATACTTTGGTAGCTTAGTTTATGTTATTACTTTGTTAGTTTGATACTTTGTTAATTTGTAGTTTGGTTTATGTTAGAATTTTTGTAGTTTGGTGTTTAGTTTATGTTGATACTTTGTTAGTTTACAGTTTGGTACTTTATAGTTTGGTAATGTTAGTTTATTATTTTAGTTTATGTTGATATTTTGATAGTTTGGTATGTTGGTAATTTATATTTGGATTTATATTGATATTTTGGTGGTTTGGTTTTTATTAACGGACATATTTATTTTGTACACGGAGGATCCTCCTGATGCTATGTAACTCGACATCTAAAGTAAGACTTATTGTTGTCGACATAACATTATACTGGGGAACAAGGGGGATGAAGATGAAGTACCCGAGTACTTTTATGTTTTAGTTTATGTTTCATAAATATTTTAAGTTTATAGTAACTGTTTTATATAATATATTGTTTTTCTGTATTTATTGAATTTGATACTGTTTTTTCTATATTTTAGTAGTAGTTTTTATGTATTTTAGTAGGTGTTGTTATAAAAGAAAAGCATTAGGTTCCACATTAGCATTAGCAACCACATCAACAGTGGCGACGTATAACAATGGTCGCATTATCAGCAATGACATATGAGCAACAACAACGTTATGATCGCATCGACTTTTTAGTGGCGACATGTCGCCCCTACCGGCTGATTTCTTATATTATACTAACAAACTGACAAGTTTCGTAACTTTCGTTGAATGAAAAATAAAAATAAAAATAATTATTTCCAATATAGCAAACCTTTTCAACATATATGGTAGTTAAGGATTAAAATCACCTTATTTAATAAGTATGCGAGTGCGTTGAGAAATTGAAAAGCATTTATTATATTTGAATTATTTTTGGCCTTCTCTACCAATCAGACAACTTATTTAGATCGCAGAGTTCCACTGACACTTTAATGTAGAATTAAGGGAAGAAATTTCACTTCCTTAGAGCTTTACCTATGTGAATAAGGGAAGACAGTAAAACTGTAAAGGGAAGGAGCATCGCCTGCCAATATTTTTTGGATCAATCATTTGTCTCGTGTTCGGCAGGGCAAGCCTGTGCAGGTGTCCTATAATATCATTGACGAATGTTTTTGCGGTCAAATAGTGAATCACGTTAGACAAAATGATTGTCATTTATTGTTGTGATTCCTCAATAATATATTCCTTTTATATTTTAATATATTTTGTCGTGGCTTTGAAAAACGAATATATCGTATGTATGAAGTTTATGAAATGAAAGTTAGGAATTTGACAAAGCTCCTCGTTTCACACTATACAGAAAAAATCAAAAAACAATTGAAGAGCTTTATTTTATTTTGGTTTCATATGTATGAGTAAAATATATGCAACAAAGAAGATACTTGAAGCATAGAGAAAGTCTAAAATAACATGGCAAAATTATTATGGTAATTAATGGGCTTTGTTATCCATACCGAATAAGATTGTACCATGTAATTTCTTATTTTGTAATTCTGTTGTGCCCCCACAACTACCACTCGGTAATGTAATATATGTTACATTTATGGTATAAGAAATAATCCTTGGAATTCTGAAAATCGTTATTATCATTTTCAAATTGAGGTATTTTGTTGGTACATAGACATAGGGATCACCAATTTAGCCACGATCCGCATTCCAAATGTGGCGTTCCCAAACACAGTACAACTGTGTACCAATTGCCGACGAAAATGCTCTTTGGTACGTCCTGTAAACAGAAGGGTATCCGATAAGAATAGATAACTATTTAGATAAATTGTATTTATCTTCTATCTGTTGTACAGCTTACATATCCTATATTTTAGGATCTCAATTGTAATCATCTTTAATATAAATATATTATCGTTCTCATGTTGGAGACTTTTAAGCCAAAATACTCCGTCTTTTAACTTGGTATCAGAGCGCAGGATCTCGAGATCCTTCATACCCTTCCTGTTAAATCGACCATCCTTTGATCAATTACCATGACTACCCCCACTCTCATAAATTCCTCAAAAATAGTCACAACAATAACCTGCAAATTGACTTGTACAAATTTTCTACTCTGGAAGGCACAGGTAGTTCCAATCCTGCGAGGGGTCAAACATTTTGGCTACCTTGATGGAATCATAGTCATGCCAACAACAAAAATCATTGTTGGTACAGGAGATGCAGCAAAACAAGAAGACAATCCTGAGTATGAGTCCTGGGTCACTCAAGATCAAGCAATACTTGGCGGCTTACTATCCTCCATGATTGAAGAAGTGCTATCTCAACTCACTCGCTCTACAGATACGTCCAACCAACTATGAACTTCTCTCCAAACTATGTTTGCTGCTCAACATAAAGGAAACTCTATTCAGATTCGTACACAACTCTCAAATACAAAGAAAGCTGACATGACAGCCTCCGAATACTATCAGAAGATGACTTCTCTTGCTGACACCATGGCCAATATTGGTCACCCGATGACTGATGAGGAAGTTATTGGCTATATTTTAGCCAGGTTAGGTCCAGGCCATGGAGACCTGTTTACAGCCATCACAGTTTTAAGTAACACCCAAGAAGTCAAGCTGTCAGAATTCTACTCATATCTCATCGCTCATGAAGCCCAGACAACAACGATGAATGGATCAACAGATTTTGTAACCTCTTCCAACTCTGTTGCAAAGCAGGAGACTAGCAACCCTCTAAAGGCTCAAGGCAATAATAGGTATAATAATTTAAACCATAGCAGTAACTAGAGAAACAATTATCGCAACAATGGCAACCGTGGTCGAGGACGTGGCAGAGGAAGACAATATGGTGGAGGCCCAAGGTGTCAAGTTTGTGGCATACCAGGACACACAACTTTGAACTGCAGGAATCAATCCAATCACGCATATCAAGCCGATGAGTATCATGGCGGGAATAGCGC